AAAGGAGCTGACCTATTTGTTGGGAGGGAGGAATACCTGGTTTGTAAGCCCAGCGATGGTAGACAGCAGCAGTCACTGCAGGCCCCAGCCCTACCTGGGAGACTATTTTTATTTTTTTTAGTCTGTTTTAGGTATGGGCAGCACGGTGGTGCAGTGGGTAGCGCTGTTGCCTCACAGCAAGAATGGCCTGGGTTCGATTCCTGGCCGGGCGACCAGGGTCGTTTCTGTGAGGAGTTTGCATGTTCTCCCCGTGTCTGCATGGGTTTTCTCCCACAGTCCAAAAACATGCAGTTAAGCTAATTGGACTTGCTAAATTGCCCCTAGGTGTGAATGTGTATGTCTGTCTGTCTGCCCTGCGATGGACTGGCGACCTGTCCAGGGTGTATCCTGCCTTCCGCCTAATGACAGCTGGGATAGGCTCAGGCACCCCACCGCGACCCAGAAGGATAAGTGGTTTAGATGATGTATGTATGTTATAGGTATGTAAATTGTCAGGAAGAAGGGGGTAGCAAGCTAACTGAGCTTCTCCAGTGACGAATGGGACAAGGATGGAGACCACTAAAAGACCCATTCTTTTTTGTCTCACAGTTTCCACTCAGCTATTGTTTCAAAGGTGAAAAAATGTGCTTCTGTATGGTCGCTGGGGTCAGTTTGGTGAGGAGGCTGTGGGCTGCTACCTTAGGATCAGGGAGGGACTGTGTTTGGGCGAGAAGCTAGTAGCTCTTCTGTGAGGGCTTGTAAGTTAAGAGCCAACTCTGTGAGTGACTTCTTGCTGGCAAGCACTGTTCTCTAGGAGGTGTTGGAGTATCCATGATCCAGTGATCCATGTTGGCAAGAAAGGAAAAAAAAATGACTCTACCCTCAAAAATCTGTGTTATAATGCCCACGTTCTTCACCATTGTGAGCTGTGGCAACGCATGGGACAACACAGAAGGAAGACAGTCACGTTCCACAGTTGGCACACCCAGAAGAGTGTCATTTATTAGGCCATTTATTAGGGACAAAAAAAAGATTGCAACGAAGGTAAAGAGTAGGAAAAAGGGAACATCAAAAAAATCATCATTGGGAATCTCTCAATCAGTGGTAGCGTGGCTCTTCTGCCACAGGATAGGAAAAAAACTCCAGGGTTTGTGACTTGTGTAGACAGAGGACAATACTTTTTCTCAAAGCCATTTCAAACAGAGCCACATAGGAAATATTAGCTATATTACGTATTAAAGGTGCAGTAAACTCTTAGAAAAAAGGGACTGTTACTGGGGCAGTACCCCTGTTGCTACTGGGGTGGTACCTTCAAGGGTAAGTCATCAGTACCTTTAGTTAGGGAACATAAGTGTACCATATTCCAGTTATCCAGTGTAATTGTAAGGTAACACTTTACATTAAGGGTCACCAATCAATCATTAATTATATAATAATCAACTATTAATTTCCCATAATTTAGTTACTAGTTAACTCTTCATTAAGCATTAGCTATTACTTAGTAACTGTTTAAGCACTTATCAATTAGTAATTGAATACACTGTTAGTTGATAAGTTAGTCTGTCATTAGTTTATGGCTTACTTACTCATTATCTGTGTATTAACTGCTGCTTATTACATTGTTAATGAACTAATAAGTATTTTTATTCATATAAAGAAGTAACATGATAACTTGCTAGCACTTATGTGTTAATCCCGCTAATTATCTGTTAATTAACTTTCCATCACCTCCATATATTCAGTTGCTTCACTTTTCTCACATTGGTTCTTGTTCATTAAAGATGCTTATGGTCACATCTGACCGTAAGATGAGCGCACACAAATTCATGGACGGTTTTGTTATTCATCACTTTCATCTTTGGCATATCTGTACAAACTCATATCTGGTAGGAGTGCATGTAAATTTGGTCTTAAATGCTGGACATGTGGCTAATTAACCAAAACTATTATCAACATAATCTGTAATTGCAAAAAATAAGAACAACATTAAAGAATCAAATTATGGGAAATTAATTGTTGATTATAATATAATTAATGATTGATTGGCAACCCTTAATGTAAAGTGTTACCAATTGTAATTATATTTTTAAAGTTTTTTTGAGGATGCATTTGCATTTTTTACTTTGATGAACAAAAAATGTACCTGCACACAACCTTTACCTTTAACAGTGTACCAGATTTATATACTTGCTAAGTGTTTTCTAGTGTTTAAATTCATTAGTTGTGTCTTTTATTTTTTCATTTCTGGAGGTGTACATTCAGCTTAATTACATTAAAAATGTGGCTCCCAAACTGTGGCTTTTATATGTAAGACAGTGAACAACGGCGGCGTTGCTGGATTGTGTTGACATATGGCTTCTTCCTTGCATGATACAGCTTTAACGTGCATTTGTGGATTGCACGGTGAACTGTGTTTACAGATAATGATTTCTGGAAGTGTTTCTGAGCCCATGCAGTGATTTCCAGTACAAAATATGCCTGTTTTGAATGCAGTGCGGCCTGAGGGCCCAAAGATCACAAGAATCCAATATTGACCATCGGCCTTGTCCCTTGTGTACAGGGATTTCTCCAGGTTCTCTGAATCTTTTGATGATATTACATACTGCAAATGGTGGGATATCCAAAATCTTTGAAATTTTACGTTGAGGAAGATTTTGCTGAAATTGTTTCACAATATTTAGACGCAGTTTTTCGCAGATTGGTGAACCTCTGCCCATCTTTGCTTCTGAGAGACTCTGCCTCTCTAAAATGCTCTTTTTATACTCAGTCATGTGAGTTAGTTGCAAATCGCTCCTCAAAGTGTTTTTTATTAGTATCACTTACTTTCTCAGCCTTTTGTTGGCCCTGTCCCAACTTTTTTGAGATGTGTTGCTGCCATCAAGTTCTAAATAAGTTAATTTTTTTCATGAAATGGTAAAATGTCTCACTGTCAACATCTGATATGTGTTCTGTGTTCTATTGTGAATAAAATATGGGTCTATACGATTTGCAAATCATTGCATTCAGTTTTTATTTACATTTATTTACATTTTACACAGCATCCTAACGTTTTTGGAATTGGGGTTGTATTCAGTTCTGCATAGCCGTGCAGGGATTCCAAACAACTATTGGAAAGAGAGGAACTCTGACGCCTCTTATAATCATCTAATCATGAAATACATTATTAGCGATAATGTAAATCTTGTTCCTTTCACAGATCACAGAAAGATGTGTGAATGTTCACTAGCAGAGTATACTTTGATCACTCTCAGGACTCAGTACATTTTTCTCATGTAATATTATGTTTTTTTAGTTTTGTTTGTACATATTATTTCCAATGATATTGCTGAATCAACTCAAACATTTTTAAACTGTGATTGTTGTTACGAAAAAGTAACTCATCTACTCAAGTAGTTTTCCAGTAAACTGCTTATTTCCTCTTACTTGAGTAATTTTCTTTATTGATACCTGTACTCAGGTAAAGTATCAGTAACAGTGTTTTTACTTAAGTAGGAATTTTCACCCTTGGTAATAATAATAAAAAGTAGAAGAATACTGAAAGAAATTAGATTTGATGCAAATTAAATGCAGGTGCTTATCGTAATTCTCAGCTTGAATCAAAGCCTGCCTTATGTCTGCAGAAATGGGTTGGATGTCAAATTAGGATCTACAGACAACACTACTTTTTACATCTATAAAACCATGTAGCAGTTCCTTTCAAAAAGCCCATATTTGATAAAACTGTTGATTTTTTTTTTTGTGACAGACATACGACTTGTTAACGGGTTTGACTCGTGTTCTGGTAGAGTGGAAGTCTATTATAACGGCCAGTGGGGAACAGTGTGTGATAATGACTGGGACATCAATGATGCAGCGGTGGCGTGCAGAGAGATGAGATGCGGCAGAGCAGTCAGCGCCCTTCACAGTGCCCACTTTGGTCAGGGAATTGGCCAAATACTTCTGGATAATGTTGGTTGTTCTGGAAATGAAAGAACCCTCACAAATTGCTCTCATACAGGACTTGGCAAACACAACTGCCATCATGGTGAAGATGCTGGTGTTATCTGCTCAAGTAAGAAAAAACTAATTTTCAATTCATAACCATAACTCTCTAATCAATTAACATTAATTGGTCAGTGAACATACAAAGCATAAAGTGCTGAAATTAGAAAGGCACCAAAGTTTTCAGACCTGTTTGTGCTGAAACTGAGCTACGCTGTGTTAAAACACTAGAGAAGTGTGCTAGAATGGCATTTCAGTATTTTAAACATTAGTTCTCAGCGTATTGTAAATTGTAAATTAATATTAGCATTTTCTTGACTTTTCTTTCTGAACATTCAGGAAAATATTATAATGTCTTCATGTGGAGGGTCAGCACCATTCACTAAACTGTAATCTGTAAACAGAAACACAAGGGCTAATGAAGACTGCTTACATTTAAACTCTCCAGACCTGGAAATATTCTTAAATAATCTGTTTTTCTCTTTTTACTTTTGGGATATTTTAGCGATTTGAGATATAACAAATGCATATGACAGTTACTCGTAATGATAAATAGATTAAACACACCATAATCTGAGGAGCTAGATTATCCTAATAAAACCATAAACAAGTAATCCAAGTTCAGGAGGATGTTCAAGCTTAAGAATCATTTTAGTTTAAGAATGTTTCTTACGCCTGTTATGCGTTAAAATAAATAATAGAAAATACTTTTTGAACAGCACATTTCATTTATAGTCCTTTACATGTAGAACTACATTCTACATGTAAAGGACTATCACAATCTTTGCTTTTTGCAATCTTTTTATAATAATAAGAATAGTAATAATACTAATTGTTGTTATTATTATTTTATTGAATAATTATGAGATAGGCTTAGATGCAAGCTAAATCCAGGGGCTTATTGTATTTCTCAGCTTGAATCCATGCCTGTCTCATGTCAGGAGATAACAAGACTTTTTTATACATCTACAAAAATGTGGCAATTCCTTTTAAAAAGCTCATGTTTGATGAAACTGTTCGTTGTTCTTTAATTGTGACAGGCTTAAGACTTGTTAATGGATTTGACTCGTGTTCTGGTAGAGTGGAGGTCTATTATAATGGCCAGTGGGGAACAGTGTGTGATAATGACTGGGACATGAATGACGCGGCGGTGGTGTGCAGAGAGATGAGATGTGGCAGAGCGATCAGTGCGCTTCACAGTGCCCACTTTGGTCAGGGAAGTGGCAAAATACTTCTGGATGATGTTGGTTGTTCTGGGAATGAAAGCACCCTCACAAATTGCTCTCATAAAGGAATTGGCAGACATAGCTGTTATCACAGTAAAGATGCTGGTGTTATCTGCTCAGGTAAGGAAGAACTTGTTTTTAATTCACAACCTTGTAATATTGATATTGCTGCTGCACTGACCCCTCAAATCAATTAACATTAATTGATCAATGAACATACAAAGTATAAAGTGCTGAAATCACAAGGGCTTCAAAGCTTTCAGAACTGTTTGTGCTAAAACTGAGCTACTCTGTGTTAAAACACTAGAGAAATGTGTTGGGATGGCATTTCAGTACTTTTAACATTAGTTCTCTTAACTCAAATCTTATTCACTGGGTCTTGAAGGAGGTTGATGTAAACATCTCTAATACTGTAAATTATTATTTTTTTTTTTTACATCTACAGAAACATGTGTCAGTCTCATTTAAAAGCCCATATTTGATAAATCTGTTCATTTTTCTTTAATTGTGACAGGCGTAAGACTCGTTAATGGAAGTGACCCATGTTCTGGTAGAGTGGAGGTCTATCATAATGACGAGTGGGGAACAGTGTGTGATGATGGCTGGGACATCAATGATGCGGAGGTGGTGTGCAGAGAGTCAAGATGTGGCAGAGCGGTCAGCGTGTTTCACAATGCCCACTTTGGTCAGGGAAGTGGTCCAATACTTCTGGATAATGTTGGTTGTTCTGGAAATGAAAGCTCTCTGTCTGGTTGCTCCCATGAAGGATTTTACAAACACAGCTGTAATCATGGTAAAGATGCTGGTGTTATCTGCTCAGGTAAGGAAAATACGTTAAGCTGTATTGCATGACATATTCATACATACATACATACATACACACATACATCATCTAAACTGCTTATCCTTCTGGGTCGCAGTGGATGAACAGATTTAACTTAATGAACAGATTTTTCTGGTAACTCTTAGCAAAGCTCTGCAAAAATAATAAAGAGTAATAATAATAATAATAAAAATAATAATAGTGTAGCGTCCCTATTGTGTGAATAGTTGTGCTTGTTAGTTAAAGACGTGCAGAGGTGCAGGTATGTGTTATTCTGTGCTGGGCTGTGTGGTAGTTGGTCAAGTGTTCACTGCCATGTAGAGTTAAGTGGTTAGAAGTGACCTGCCTGTTATCCTCACCGTTCATTTTGCACTGGGAGGTGATTCAGTAGAAGAGCATTTGCCTAAAGTTCTGTTTTGTTTTTTCTGTTTTTCTCTTGCCATCCCTTTTTAAAAGTCCATGTTTTTGATAAATCTGTTCGTTGTTCTTTAATTGTGACAGGCTTAAGACTCGTCAATGGAAATGACTCATGTTCTGGTAGAGTGGAGGTCTATTATAACGGCCAGTGGGGAACAGTGTGTGATAATAACTGGGACATCAATGATGCGGAGGTGGTGTGCAGAGAGATGAGATGTGGCAGAGCGGTCAGCGCCACTCACAGTGCCCTCTTTGGTCGGGGAAGTGGCCAGATAGTTCTGGATAATGTTGGTTGTTCTGGAAATGAAAGAACCCTCACAAACTGCTCTCATAAAGGACTTGGCAAACACAGCTGTAATCATGGTAAAGATGCTGGTGTTATCTGCTCAGGTAAGGAAAAATTCCTTTTCAGTTCATAACTATGTAATTTTGGTATTGCTGCTGCACTGACCCCTCTAATCAGTTCAAGTGGTCAGTAAACATATACAGTGTATATTGCTGAAATCAGGAGGGCACCAAAGCTTTCAGACCTGTTTGTGCTAAAACTGAGCTACTCTGTGTTAAAACACTAGAAAAGTACACTGGAATGGCATTTCAGCCAAATCTGACTCACTGGGTCTTGAATTAAGATCAGAACTTTCTTGAACATCCCCTTGTTAAAAGCCTTTCACCTAATTGTTTTCTGAAAACAGAAACAAAAGCACTAATGAAGACTTTTTACAGTAAACTCTCCAGACCTGGACCTTTTCTTAAATAATGTTTATTTTTTACATTTTACTTTTACGATATTTTTAGTGGTTTGAAAAATAAAAAATGGACATGAAAATTACATATGATGACAATTAAACTCACAATAATATGAGGAGCTAGATTATCCAAATAAAACCATATATTAGCAGTTCAAGTTTATGAATCAGTTTTAGAATTTTTCTTAGGGCTGTAATTCGGTGAAATAGATAACAGCAAAGACTTTTAAACAGCACAGTTCATTTATAGTTCTTCAAAATGTCTTACTCAAAAGTGCTTAAAAATGGCCACTTCTCTCAACCTCACTCAACCAACTGCTGAAACAAAATATAGTCAATAGAAACAATAGAAAATAGTTCATTTTGAGCTCTGCTTGTCATGTCACTATTCAGGAGACAAGCAATCAAAAATGCATGGGTAAAGCTGAACTGATTGCACATTTAGGACTGTATTACATGACAGACGCAAGTTCCTTTTTATAACTATGAACATTACTAATACAGGCTGAATGACTAAAGACTTATTAAACCAGCCTTGCAAAAATAATGAAGACTACTACTACTACTACTATTAATAATGATAATAATAATAATAATGTTCAATAAAAGAGCATTTGCTCAAAGCTGTTTCCTGTGACTCCGTCTTGCCAATAATAATAACAATGAAAGAAATGAGAGAGGCTTTGATGCAAGATAAGTCCAGATGCTTATTGTACTTCTCAGCTTGAAACAAAGCCTGTCTCATATCTGCAGAAAACAAGACTTTTATCTTTTTTATACACCAACATAGACCTGTTACAATCCCTTTTAAACAGCTATGTTTGATAAAGCTGTTCATTGTTCTTTAATTGTGACAGGCTTAAGACTCATTAATGGAAGTGACCCGTGTTCTGGTAGAGTGGAGGTCTATTATAATGGCCAGTGGGGAACAGTATGTGACAGTAACTGGGACCTCAGTGATGCGAAGGTGGTTTGCAGAGAGATGAGATGTGGCAGAGCGGTCAGCGCCACTCACAGAGCCCACTTTGGTCAGGGAAGTGATCCAATATTTCTGGATAATGTTGGTTGTTCTGGAAATGAAAGCTCTCTATCAAGTTGCTCCCATGATGGATTTTACAAACATAGCTGTGGTCATGGTGAAGATGCTGGTGTTATCTGCTCAGGTAAGGAAAACTCATTTTCAATTCATAACCATGTAATATTGATATTGCTGCTGCACTGACCCCTCTAATCAATTAACATTAAGCATACTAAGCATGTAATGCTAAAATCAAAATGGCACCAAAGCTTTCAGACCTGTTTGTGCTAAAACTGAGCTACTCTGTGGTAAAACACTAGAGAAAAATGCTGCAATGGGATTTCAGTACTTTAAACGTTAGTTCTCTTAACCAAATCTTACTCACTGGGTCTTGTAGGAGGTTGACATAAACGTTGTAATACTGTAAATTAAGATTAGCATTTTCTCAAACATCGCCTTGTAAGAATCTTTGTAAACATTCAGGAAAACATTATAAAGTCTTCATATGGAGGGTCAGACCCTTTCATCAAACTATAGCTTGTAAACAGAAACACAAGCACTTCTAAAGACTTTTTACATGAAACTCTCCAGAATAGGTCGCATTTTTTTAATTTATCTGCTTTTTACACACAACCTCCAAGATATTTCAGTGGTTTAAAATATTAAAAATCTATATGATAATTACATCTAATGAAAGATTAAACACACCACAATATGAGGAGCTAGATTATTCAAATAAAACTGTATCCAAGAAATGCATGTTAAGGGATATGTTCAAGTTTAAGAATTTGTTGAGTTTAAGTTTTTTTCTAGGCTTTTTATGGAGTTTTATGCAGCAAGATAAATAGCAACAAAGACTTTTTGAACAGCACATTTCCTTTATTGTCTTAATGTCACGTTCGGACACAGCTCAGATGCTCTTGGACCCAACTGAATGTAAAACTGCTTCATTAGCAAAAGGGAAATCCAAAACAAAGTCAAACAGTCCAAAGACAAAAGCCAGATTGAGAGAACAGTAACCATAGGGGCAATCTAAACAACAGAATCCCTAAACTAAACTAAAATACAAACAATACACAAAGGCTGGGCTAAAGTGAGGTCAGAAATAAACAAAACGAAGGTCATACATGGACAGACAAAGTAACATACTGGAAGGCTCGATAATACTCTGTGACAAAGACAATACTTTGCAATGAAGTTTTGTCTTTGAGGGTAGTTTAAGTAGTGTGGGCTATGGGTTGGAGGTTAGGGAACCAGCCTTGCAACCGGAAGGTTGTCGGTTAAGGCTGCCCACTGCTCTGGGCAAGTGTGCTCACTGCCCCCTAGTGTATGTCTTGACTAATGTGTATGTGGTGTTTCACTGCATGGGTGGGTTAAATTGCGGAGGTGAAATTTCCCCATTTTGGGACTAATAAGGGTCACCTAATCTAATCTAATCCAATCCAAGTGACCTAAATCAATGAATCAATGTGGAGTGGTGGGAGGTCATGTGAGGGAGGTCTGGGGTCATGTGATCTGGTAGGGCATTCTGGGAAATAAAGTCTGGAGGCTGAGAAGTGGTGACAGCGGGGCTGGACGGGAAGCGGGGCTGGACGGGAAGCGTGACAGTATCCCCCTGCCAAAGAGTCAAGGACAGCCCTGGAGCGAGGGTGCCCATGACGACCACTAACTACGTGACTGGAGATACTGGACAGCAGGACCCCCTTTCCATCGTGGTACTGGGAGAGTGAAGGGCTGCGTGATCGGTGACTGAAATGAGTACGTGAAAGGACATGACAGGAAGTGGAGATGAATTTCCTCGGGTGGCTTCTGGGACGCGATGCTGGCTTTTCAGGATGTTGATTGTAAAAAACACCCAACCATAGCCACGCAACATCTCTCCTACGGGCCGTATCCCTCCCAATCAGTGAAGTACTGAAGTTCCACTCCACGCCTCCTGGAGTTCAGCACCTTGTGAACAGCATACACAGGGGCAGGCAAGTCAAACTGGTATGTAACTTCATTAATCTGTTTGAAAATCTGGAACGGACTAGTATGCTTAGGTTGGAGTATTTACAACCCTCCTCAAACCTGAGATCCCGAGTCGATAACCACACCCAGTCAACAGGCTGGAAGGAAGGGGTCTTTCCTTGGTGGCAGTCTGCTTTCTGCTTGCCCCGCTGGAGAGCTGTTTCAATCCTGCAGTGTGTTTTCTCCCAGACCTCCTCACTCCATTTCATCCAGTCATCAACAGCTGGTACATCCAAGGGTGTGGTGGTCCAGGGTGCCAGAGGAGGCTGATAGCCCAAGACACACTGGTATGATGTCATTCCTGTGGCTGAACAGACACGAGAGTTCTAGGCCATCTCTGCCCAAACAAGATATTTAGACCACTCAGAATGGTTGTTGTGACAAAACAGTCTCAGGAATTTTTCAAGTTCCTGGTTACCCCTCTCAAGTTGTCTATTAGACTGAGGGCAATAAGCAGACGTAAGACTAACAGTGACCCTGAGATGTTCAAACAACTCTTTCCATACAAAAGAGACGAATTGTGGGCCCCAATCAAATACAATGTATGGATAGAAGTGATCAGAACTGACAAGGGAAGGATAGGTTCAGGTTCACCGACTGACACTTTTTTGTCATTCTGTATGAAACAATATGAAACAGGGCATCGGCTTTGGAATGAGAAAGAAGTGGTGACAGCAGGGCCGGAGGGAGGCACAACATCTTTACATTTAGGACTGTATTATGATGACCAAAAGTTTTTTTGTTAGCTTACTTAAAAGTGTCTAAAAATGGCCGCATCTCTGAACCTCACCCAACCAGCTGCTGAAATAAGAAACAGTGATTAGAACCAGAAAATAGTTCATTTTAAGCTTGTCGTGTCACTGAGACAATCAAAATGTGTAGGTAAAACTGAACTGGAGGCACACGTTAAACTGTATTGCATGACATACTCAAGTTTCTTTTTTGTAGCTTTGTTGCATTTCAGCATCAATTATCTAAAGAGTGTTATGCTGGTTGATGTTTATGTTAACTTTATAACTTTGTATTACTATTAACATTACCAACACAGGGAAATGACTTAATGAACCAATCTCTAAGTAACTCTAAGTAAAGTTCTGCAAAAATGTTTTTAATAAAACAGTTCATTGTTCTTTAATTGTGACAGGCTTAAGACTCGTCAATGGAAATGACTCGTGTTCTGGTAGAGTGGAGGTTAATTATAACGGCCAGTGGGGAACAGTGTGTGATAATAACTGGGACATCAAAGACGCAGCAGTGGTGTGCAGAGAGATGAGATGTGGCAGAGCAGTCAGCGCCCCTCACAGTGCCCACTTTAGTCAGGGAAGTGGCCAAATACTTCTGGATAATGTTGGTTGTTCTGGAAATGAAAGCACCCTCACAAATTGCTCTCATAAAGGACTTGGCAAACACAGCTGTAATCATGGTAAAGATGCTGGTGTTATCTGCTCAGGTAAGGAAAAATTACTTATAAAATAACCATGTAATTTTGATATTGCTGTTGCACTGACCCCTCTAATTAATTCAAGTTCAGTGGTCAGTAAACATATACAGTGTATATTGCTGAAATCAGGAGAGCACCAAAGCTTTCAGACCTGTTTGTGCTAAAACTGAGCTACTCTGTGTTAAAACACTAGAGAAATACACTGGAATGGCATTTCACTACTTTAAACATTAGTTCTCTTAACTCAGCCAAATCTGACTCACTGGGTCTTGAAGAAGGTTGACATCATCATTCCTAGTCCTGTAAATTGAGATCAGCACTTTCTTGAACATTCCCTTGTTAAAATCTTTTCACCTAATTGTTTTCTGAAAACAGAAACAAAAGCACTAATGAAGACTTTTTACAGTAAACTCTCCAGACCTGGACCTTTTCTTAAATAATTTTTATTTTTTACATTTTACTTTTACGATATTTTTAGTGGTTTGAAAAATAAAAATTGGACATGAAAATACAAACGATCACAATTAGATGCAGATGCAAGTTCCTTTTTACAACTATGAACATTACCAATACAGGGTGAATGACTGAAGACTTATTGAACCAGCCTTGCAAAAATAATGAAGACTACTACTATTACTACTATTAATAATAATAATAATAATAATAATGTTCAATAAAAGAGTGTTTGTTTAAAGCGCTCTGTTTCCTGTGTCTCTGTCTTGCCAATAATAATAACAGTGAAAGAAATGAGAGAGGCTTTGATGCAAGATAAGTCCAGGTGCTTATTGTATTTCTCAGCTTGAAACAAAGCCTGTCTCATATCTGCAGAAAACAAGACTTTTATCTTTTTTATACACCAACATAAACCTGTTGCAATCCCTTTTAAACAGCTATGTTTGATAAAACTGTTCATTGTTCTTTATTTGTGACAGGCTTAAGACTCGTTAATGGAAGTGACCCATGTTCTGGTAGGGTGGAGGTCTATTATAACGGGCAGTGGGGAACAGTGTGTGATGATAACTGGGACCTCAATGATGCGGAGATGGGATGTGGCAGAGCGGTCAGCGCTTACAACAGTGCCCACTTTGGTCAGGGAAGTGGCCAAATAGTTCTGGATAATGTTGCTTGTTCTGGAAATGAAAGCTCTCTCTTTAATTGCTCTCATGGTGGATTTTACAAACACAACTGTAATCATGGTAAAGATGCTGGTGTTATCTGCTCAGGTAAGGAAAAAAAAACATGTTCAGTAACCTGGTAATATTGATATTGCTGCTGCACTGACCCCTCTAATCAATTAACATTAAGTGATCAGTAAATATTCCAAGCGTATGATGCTGAAATCAGGAGGTTTCAGCTTTCAAGCTTTCAGACCTGTTTGTGCTAAAACTGAGCTACTCTGTGTTAAAACACTACATAAGTGTGCTGGAATGGCATTTCAGTACTTTAAACATTGGTTCTCAGTCAAATCTGACTCACTGGGTCTTGTAGGAGGTTGACGTAAACAATCCTAATCCTGTAAATTAAGATTAGCACTTTCTTGATCGTCCCCTTGTAAGAATCTTTGTAAACGCTGAGGAAAACATTATAAAGTCATCTTGTGGAAAGTCAGTGCCTTTTAGCAAACTGTTCAGGAATATATTTTAATTATTTAATTATTTATTTATATATTAATTATAAGTTTAAAAATCAATTCAATTTAAGAATGTTTTTAGCCCCGTAGTGTAGTTAGATAATAACAGAATAACACATTTTCTTTATAGTTCTTTCCGTATAAGACTGTATTATCATGACCAAAACTCTTTATGCATGCTTATTTGAATGTGTTTAAAAGTGGCTACTTTGGTCAACCTTGTTCATTCAGCTGCTACACATTGAAAATGACTGAAAGCTTAATGAACCAGTCTTTCTGGGAATGCACACAAAATATTTGCAAAAATAATGAGTAATAATCAGGGGTGGAAACTAAACATTGCTGTGCTTGAGTAAAGTTTTTTTCTTTTCTCTAACGCTTCTTTTTGGAGTAGAATTAAATTATAGTACGTTTCTTCTTACTTGAATGAATTTCTTTCAATAACCCTTACAGAGTAAGAATAATTGTCTGTGTCAGCTCTTAAACCAATTAGAAGAAAGCATGGTTTAATTTAAAAGATTCAGTTCTGATTCAACCAATCAAATCAAAGCAACTTGGATGCAACAACAACACTGATGTCAGAGATGGCAAGTGTAATGGAGAAAGAAACACACTCCAAATGGTCATCTTAATTCATTTTCTAATGAAAGATAATTCTGTCATGCTCAGATTTTTTTTCCACCTTTTTTTTTTATTATACTTGCTGGTCTAAACTGCTTTCTGATAAGTTTGCGGGTGGTGGAGTATGAAGTTGTTTTGTTGTGTATCTCTGTATACAGCCAGACCAGATATCACATTAGCTAGTGCATCAGTTACATAGCAATATGTACAATATGGTAGTAAGCGGACACAGTTTTCCGAACCTGCTCAGCAAATCTCACATTAAACTCATTCATTTTAAATGAAGTGCTGGTGAACTACAGAATTCTAGAAGTGCACGACCACACGCACATCAGAGACTTCTGTCTGTTCATCACAGAACACAGCCTCTCACCCCTTCTTTGTCTTGATCTCTCATTCTCCCTCCAAACTTTTTTTCTTATGTAATATGTTTTGCTGTAGTGTTGTTTGTACAGAATATTTCCAGTAACGTAGCCAGAGTCAACTCAGTTGTGATTGCAGATACACAAAAACTTGAACTCATATATACACTATATTTCCGAACGTATTCACTCACCCATCCACATCATAGAATTCAGGTATTCCAATCACTTCCATGGCCACAGGTGTATAAAACCAAGCACCTAGGCATGCAGACTGCTTCTACAAACATTTGTGAAAGAATGGGTTGCTCTCAGGAGCTCAGTGAATTCCAGCGTGGTACTGTGATAGGACGCCACCTGTGCAACAAATTTCCTCGCTACTAAATATTCCACAGTCAACTGTCAGTGGTATTATAACAAAGTGGAAGCGATTGGGAACGACAGCAACTCAGCCACAAAGTGGTAGGCCATGTAAAATGACAGAGTGGGGTCAGCGGATGCTGAGGCGCATAGTGCACAGAGGTCGCCAACTTTCTGCAGAGTCAATCGCTACAGAGCTCCAAACTTCATGTGGCCTTCAGATTAGCTCAAGAACAGCGTAGAGAGCTTCATGGAATGGGTTTCCATGGCCGAGCAGCTGCATCCAAGCCTTACATCACCAAGCGCAATGTAAAGTGTCAAATGCAGTGGTGTAAAGCACCACCACTGGACTCTAGAGCAGTGGAGACGTGTTCTCTGCAGATCCGATGGACGAGTCTGGGTTTGGCGGTTGCCAGGAGAACGGTACTTGTCTGACTGCATTGTGCCAAGTGTAAAGTTTGGTGGAGGGGGGATTATGGTGTGGTGTTGTTTTTCAGGAGTTGGGTTCGGCCCCTTAGTTCCAGTGAAAGGAACGCTTAATGCTTCAGCATACCAAGAGATTTTGAACAATTTCATGCTCCCATCTGTGTGGGAACAGTTTAAGGACGGCCCCTTCCTGTTCCAACATGACTGCGCACCAGTGCACAAAGCAAGGTCCATAAAGACATGGATGAGTGAGTTTGGTGGGGAAGAACTTGAGAGTCCTGACTTTAACCCGATAGAACACCTTTGGGATGAATTAGAGCGGAGACTGCGAGCCAGGCCTTCTCGTCCAACATCAGTGTCTGACCTCACAAATGCGCTTCTGGAAGAATGGTCAAAAATTCCCATAAACACACTCCTAAACCTTGTGGAAAGCCTTCCCAGAAGAGTTGAAGCTGCTATAGCCGCAAAGGGTGGGCATCATATTAAACCCTATGGATTAAGAATGGGATGTCACTCAAGTTCATATGCGTGTGAAGCCAGACGAGCGAATACTTGTGGAAATGTAGTGTATTTACTCTTGAGTAATTTCTTTTATTAATACTTTTACTTTTTTGCAAGTAAATTATCACTACAGTAACAATACTTTTACTGAAGTAGGGATTTAAGTGCTTTTTTTACCCTGACCACCCTGATCCACAAATACAAGTTAAAACTCAAAGAAGAAACCATATATAAACAGGATCCAGAAATGCTGCCACCTTTGCTGGGCCGTTCATTTGAGAGAGGCAAAGTGGAAAAGTGTCCTGTGGTCTGCCAAATCAAAATTTGGCATGGCATTGGTGACATGAACGATATATACATGTTTTGGCAACATATGCTGCCATCCAGACGACATCTTTTTCAGGGAAGGCCTTGATTATTTCAGCAAGACAATGAAAAACTACATTCTGCATGTAAAACAGCAGCAATTGCTCTATATTAAAATAGTCTGGGTGTTAAACTGGCCTGTCTGCAATCCAGACCTGTCAGCACTGAAACATTTGGCATCCCAACTTTTTTGGAAATGGGGTCGTAAAACTAAACTGTTCAGACAGTGTGCTCTTATAAACTCTTCTGCACTTCCTGGGTTAAAATGACCCTTTTTCATAATTGGATGTTGAAATTAGTGATGGTTTTATATACACAGAATGGTGTAATATGGACAGTTTCACAGACAAAATGTAAAGCATCATCATTTTTTCAAGTATTTAAAAATAATAAGTTCATAACAAAATTGCTAAATACAAATAATTTAATTAGTATTGCAAACACAAAAAGCGTCAGAGTGATATTGTGATGTGTACTTGATGGTGATGGGGTGGAAAACAGAAAATGTTCCCTGCACTATAATAACCTTGATTCTGGGTCACAGTCACAATCTTCTCACAGTCATTCTTACAGTCACTTTGCAAAACTTTTGCATCAGACATTTTCAGTTTTTCTTCAAAGAAAGTCTGATTTTAAATAAAGTATGTGAGTGATAAAAATGAAAGGACATGGCATAGTAGTAACTTTTCTTCCTGTAAAATTTGCTTTATATTGAATGTTTGTCTTTTCTATTACTGGCCAGTTAGCCTGTTCGGTTACCAAACTTCTTAAATCAGTTCACTGCTGTTTTTTTTAAACAGTCGATTTTAGGTTATATGGCAACCAAACTCCAGGGACGTGTACAGTGTGACTGAACATATCCAAAGTCTTATTTTGAAAGTAATAAATCAGATTAAAGTGTGAAAACAAAAAGTGAGTGTTCCTCACGCGTAAACTTTACAATGCTCTTCCTGTGCCTACAGTTTTCTTCTGAATTACCTGTAATAAGGTTTTTAATTTACTTTTCTACAGTATCGATTTCAAATAATATAATAACTTGTCCGTCTGTCCATCCATCCATCCATCCATCCATTGGTCAAGGCGTTTTATGCCTCGCTCTTATAACTGTTGATGGTGTGGTGTGTACTTGATGTTGATGGTGTGGAAAAATGTATGAAAACGAAGGAAATGAACTGCACTATAATCACCTTGAGTCTGGGTCACAATCACCATCTTCTCACGATCATTCTTACAGTCACTCTGCAAAACTTTTGCATCAGACATTTTCAGTTCTTCTTTGAGGCCAATCTGACTTCAAATGAAATATGTGTGAAAGTAATTGAAAGTGAAAGAAATTAAAGGACATGGCACGTTAGTTACTTCTTTCTCCTAGAAAGTTTGCTTTCCTTTAAACGTATTCTCCCTTTTCTGTTCCTGCATAGTGCTGCACTGCCCAGATGGTCTGTTTGGTTAATGAACTTCTTAAATCAGTCATTTTTAGCAGTTGATTTCAGATTATATGGCAATCAAACACAAGGACCCAAAGTTTGACTGAACCAAACTTTCCAAAGTCTTATTTTGAAAGTAATTAAAAATTTTCGCTGCTAATATTTTCATCTAAAAATATATCCAATCTTAAATAATTTATTTTGTACATTTAAATATATTCATTATTTTTATGTTTAAAGAGTAATTAGTAGGCCTATCATGTTAAAGAAGAGATTTCATTTGTTTTATAATAGAAAACACAAAACAGTCATGTTTTTGTACCGTTTTCTGTTTAATACAGGTCAAACAGTATCTACTACTGCTTTCTATTTTTACTAGCATTTACTGTCCCAACTTTTTTTTAGATTAGGCATTTTTGCCAGAAGTGCCACAGTACAGGGTGTTAATCTGCAGGATATATTTCCTCATGTATTAAAGATGATCCATGATTGGGATCATTTAAAAACAAGTTTTAAAAGTACTGTTAAAGTTCTGCATGATTATGTTTCTTTGCTTTTGAATGAGCGAAGTTACAATAGTTGGTATTAAATTATTTCTAGTAATTTTCTATGCACCTGGGTCTGTCCCTCTTAAATTCCATTTAAACATTTTTAAATTCCAAAGCTTGTTACATCATAAGGTGTATTACTGAGTAACTACATGGAAAACAAAGCAAACTTATTCTTTAGTTATAAGAGTGAGGTTTAAAAGCCTTGACCAAAGGATGATGGATAGATGGATGGATGGACAGAAGGACAAGTTATTATATGAATAAAAATCCATACTGTAGAAGCGTAATTAAAAATCTTATCCGAGCTAGTTCACATTTAAGCAGTTTGCCATGTTGTTGAATGATGAGCAGATCACATGGCCATACTTTAGACTTCTTCTGAAACATAATTATAGTTCATCTAGTTTACCAACCACTCCACCTCAGGTTTTTATTGTTGTTGTTACAAATGTAATATATAATTATTTATATTCCTCATTGAAATGTTATCCTTATGCATTTTTGTAAGCTTTTTTTGTAAGTCTTTTTAGCATATCTAACACATTTGATTCTTGGAGGCAGTGATTCAGGATTACAGCACAGAACTCCTCTTGATTGGCTTATTATGATTGCATAGACTGATGTTTGTGTAACTGTAGTGCAGAGTTCACATTTTTCCACTGAACAAAGCAGTTCAATTCCAGTATACTAAAATATGCTAATGAAAGCATCACAGCGTGGCGACAGGAAACTTGCTTACAGCTACAGAACATGCCTGTGCTAAAGTAGCTTACTTGTGTGAAATGTTTTGACTGTGCAGAAAACTGTTAACTAAAACAGAAATTTAATAGTAATAATAATAATAATAATATTTTGTCACTGCATCCACACATGCAAGTTAAAACGGAGGAAACCGGATATAAACAGGATCCATATAATGCTGCCACCTTCTCTGGGCCTGAGCTCATTTAAAATGGACTGAGGGGAAGTGGAAGTGGAAGTGTCCTGTGGTCCGACAAATCGACATCTGAAATTCTTTTTGGAAATCATGGACGCTGTGTCTTCCCGGGCTAAAGACCACTCAGCTTGTTATCAGTGCACAGTTCAAAAGCCAGTATTCATGATGGTATAGGGGGACATGTGCTTATGGCATGGGTGAATGGCACATTTGTAAAGGCAGCATTAATGCTGAATGATATATACATGTTTTGGCAACATATGCTGCCATCCAGACAACGTCTGTTTCAGGGAAGGCCTTGCTTATTTCAGCAAGGCAATGTCAAACCACATTCTGCACGTATTACAGTAGCATGGCTCTGTAGTAAAAGTGTCCAGGTGCTAATCTGGTGTGCCTGCAGTCCAGACCTGTCACCACTGATGACATTTGGCACATTATGAAATGAAAAATATGACAAAAGAGACCCCGAACTGTTGCGCAGCTGAAATCCTACATCAAACAAGAACGGGAAAACATTTCACTTTCAAAACTACAGCATTGTCTCCTCAGTTCCAAATCGCTTACAGAGTGTTGTTGAAAGAAGAGGTGATCAAACACAGTGGTAAACAGGCCCCCGTCCCAACTTTTTGGAACGTGTTTTTGGCATCAAATTTAAAATGTGCATATATTAAAAAAAATTTGGTTTACGTTACATCATCATTGCATTCTGTTTTTATTTACATTCTGCACAGCCTCCTAACTTTTTTTGGAAATGGGGTTGTACATTTTAAGGTATATTTCAATGTACAAATAAACCAGTATCACGTGTTTTAGGATGCAGTTTCAAAAAAAAAAGGGATCCCCAGTAACAACTTGCTGTTTGCACCTCGATTACTCTTATGTAGCAAAATTCGCTGGCATAGATTTATACCAGCTTAGCTTTTGCACCAGTATGGTTACATATTTTCTTGTGATCAAATGTGCAATTATATGCAAATTTTTGGCCACCCCTGGCCAAATGACCTATGTTGTTGCTTTTTGAAGCTATTCAACAGTTACTGTTTTTTAGTTACATTTTAAGCTATTCAAATTTAAAGTAACAGTGGATTTACATTTGCAGAAAATATTTTTTAATATTTTACTTCAGGTGTGTGCTTTTCTTTTAAACAACATTTGTAATTTTGTAATTAAATATAATAATTCTTATACTGTCAGTTGGATAATATCAGGCCTCTGAATGGAAGGTTCACTCTAATTTTTTTTTTAGCCGTGGCACAATACAGCTGTAGATATACTAGCTCAGTATATCAAAGGCTTCTTGGGATACCATCAGTGTCTTCCACTAAAAGTAGTTATTTGTTCTCTGACATTACAAAGCTTTTTAGGCTGGATAGCAAAAAGCACACTGGCTAATGAGGTTGACTACAAATAATTGTTATGGTATTACAGTTACATGCAGGCCTTCATGTGACCATGTTTTCAGATAGCAATGTAATGTTGTAGCTAATATTTTTTTTCTTCTGCAATGTTTTAATGTCATCAACAGACAGTTTTTTTGTTTTTCTACAATAAATTAGGCCCTAATGAGATCAGGCTGGTAAATGGTAAGAGTCACTGTTGTGGCAGAGTGGAGATCCAGTACAATGGCCAGTGGGGAACAATATGTGATAATAACTGGGGCATGAAGGATGCAGCAGTGGTGTGCAGGCAGATGGGATGTGGCAGAGCGGTCAGCGCACTAAACAGAGCCCACTTTGGTCAGGGAGTTGAACCAACATGGTTGGATAATGTTGGATGTAAAGGAACTGAGCGATACTTAAGTCAGTGTTCACACAGAGGATTTGGAAAGGAGAACTGTGGACATGATAAGGACGCTGGAGTTGTGTGCTTAGGTAAGTAGTAGTTTGTACAGCAGTTTACTATTTAAATGCATTTACAACACTACTAATTATATTTCTTTAACAGATGACATGCAGAGTCCCACGCCCACCCTGAGCTCATCACACTCTGCTGTACCTGCTGGGGACACTATTCAGTTCAGATGTATCAAGCCAATCCCAACCTGTAGCTCTGCTGATTTCC